GCTGGTCTTGAACTCACAGCCATCCTCCTGCTTCAACCTCCTGAGTGCTGGGATTACAGGCATGCACCACCATGCCTGGCTTTGTCTCTTTTGTATATTATACCTTTCTTAGACAAGCATAGTTTTCTGGGTGATTTTCCCCCCTGTGTCGGGGATATTAAACCCAGGGCCTTTGCACTGAGCTACATCCCCAGCCCTTTTGTATTTTGAGATCATATCTTGCTAAGTCACTAAACTGTCCACAGTGGGTTTAAACTCACAATCTGGCCACTGTGTTCTCTCTTGCATAGGTGGCCCACCCTCACGCTGTAGGCTGTACTACTTTTATTTGTGCCAAACTCACTCTGCAGAACTTGTTTCTTTTCCTACCCTTAAGAAAGTTTGCTGCCATTAAAATGAATAATAAATAAACTCACAATCCGCCTCCTGCAGCCTCCCAGAGTTTACACATGTGCACCATCACACCTGGCTCCATGACAATTTTTTTTTTGTTTTTTTTTTTTTTTTGGTTTTTTGAGACAGGGTCTCACTAGGTAGTTGAGACTGACCTGGAACTCACTATGTAGCCCAGGCTGGTCTCAAACTCACAGCGATCCTCCTACCTCAGCCTCCCGAGTGCCGGGATTATAGGCGTGCACCACCATGCCTGGCTTCCATGACAATTTTGTAACATCATGCATTGGTCATTTGGAAAATACTGATTCACTGAGCCATGCGGATTTCCCAAATGTTGACAAATTTCATTATGTTGTACTTAAAAAAAATCAAACTCCTGGTTCCAAAAAAATAAAAATTAAATAATTTTTAAAAATTAAATTCCTTTAAATCATGATTGGTTTTTACCAAAAAGTCTTTAAATTTTGGGAAGCTGCAAACCTTGTAATGGCAAACATAAATTTTCTGAAATTTGAATTTTCTTTTGAATGCTCAAATTATATTATAAACAACAAACACTGTTAGATTTTTTTCCCCTAAAGTGACAGACTTACTTTTCCCTTTTGAGAAAAGCCCTGTCAGATCTAAGTCTGAGAACAAGTTGCTACTCATTCTTTAAGTGATGTGAAGAAAAGCAGAAGCCAAGCGTGGTGGCACATACCTGTGATCCTAGAATATGGGAGACTGAGGCAAAAATTATTGAGTTCAAGGCAAGCCTATGCAGTATAGCAAAGACCCTGTCTCAAGAAAAGAGCAGTTGCCAGGGGTGGTGGTGAACGTCTATAATCCAGCGCTTGGGAGGCTGAGGCAGGAGGATCACTGTGAGTTTGAGACCAGCCTGGGCTACACAGTGAGTTCCAGGTCAGTCTCAACTACATAGTGAGACCCTGTCTCAAACCCCACCCCACCCCTCAAAAAAAAAGAAAAAAAAAGAGCAGTCAATTCAGATTACTACTCAAAGAATGCTTGAAGTGCTTTTTCTCAGGAAAGCCATCATTTTGCTGTGCCACAGAAGTGCTTTAT